AAGAAGTCGTACAGGGCGAAGTATTCGGTATGGGTGATCGGATCAAACTTGTGCGTGTGGCAGCGGCAACAGGTATAAGTAAGCCCAAGCCAAACGGTAGCGGTCGTTTCGGTTCGGTCGAAGACGTTTTCGACGCGTGTTTCTTCCGCGATACGTCCCCCTTCGCCGTTATGCATGTGGTTGCGATTGAAGCCTGAGGCAATGACCTGAGCGTGCGTGGCATTGGGTCGCTGGTCGCCGGCTAACTGGTCGATGGTGAACTGATCGAACGGCATGTTGTCGTTCATCGCGTCGACGACCCAGTCTCGCCAAGGCCACATCGTTCGCTCAGGATCTCCCTGATAACCGTTGGTGTCGGCGTACCGAGCCGCGTCGAGCCAGGGCCAAGCCATCCGTTCGCCATAGTGTGGCGATGCCAAAAGTCGGTCGACCAGCTTCTCGTAGGCGTCAGGCGAATCATCACCAAGGAACGCCTCCACTTCCTGCGGCGTCGGTGGAAGCCCAATCAAGTCGAGCGTTACGCGGCGGATGAGCGTTCGCTTGTCGGCCTCTTGCGAAGGTGAGAGGCTTTGTTCGTGCAAGCGGTTGAGAATGAAGTGATCGATCGGGTTCTTCGCCCAGTCTTTGGTTTCAACTTGCGGAAGTTCGGGTCGTGTCGGCGGCACGAACGACCAATGCGGCGACCAATGGGCGCCCTGAGCGATCCACTTGCGAAGCGTTTCGATTTCTTGCTTCGTCAGCGGTTTCTTGTTCGCCTCTGGGGGAGGCATTTGCGTGAATTCGTCGTCTGACAGAATTCGGTGGAACAGTTGGCTCTCGTTTGGCTTGCCTGGCACGATGGCGATGCTGCCAGAGTCCGCTTCGGCGATGGCCGTTTCGCGCTGGTCGAGTCGTAGCCCACCGTGACGATCTTCTTCGTCCGGGCCGTGACACTGGAAGCAGCGATCCGACAAGATTGGTCGGATTTCGCGATTGAAATCGATCCGTTCTTCGGCCGAGACCGCCGACACTGTCAGCGCGAAGAGGAACAGGGAGGCTGCAAATATCCGCATGGTGAATTGGGCGACAAAGCAGTTGGGCAGGGAAGGCAAAAGGGAAAGAATTGAATTCTGATGAGAATTGCAACTCAACTACACAATAGCAGATCAGGCGATACTCTGCCTAGAGAATCTTCGCGAATCGGCAGACTACGCCCATTTTGCACCAATTGCCTCGCGATATCACCCGCCCATTTTTGGGAACGTAGTCGTTGAGGTTAGTTCGCAGACTGGGCAGCTTCCGGCCACATCAGCAGGGCGCCGAGAAAGAAACAGATCGCCCCCTGTAGCGTAAAGACGACCGAAAGGGTCGTCACCAGCGGGTGCGGTGGCCCTGGCAAACCGAATGCTAACACGGCCGAGACCATGAAGCCGATGCAGCCCAATAGATTGATAAAGACAATCCACCACGACAAGTTCCTTGGCTTCCAGCCGACGTATTGATGAACGACTTCCGCGTACGCCAAATAGCCAGAGGCGAGAAACAGGATCGAGCCAACAAAGTTCGGAACCCAAACCAAGAGATCGGTTTGAAACCAATTGAGCGACGGCAACATGGCGTCGAATGTATTGAAGTTAAATAGAATCGTCCCCACGAACTGAAGAGCACAGCTAAGCCACCCGACGTCGTGTGGACGCCATCCTACGAGCTTGCGGCGCGACTGGCTGCGATCAGGCTCATCGGGCAGCGCGTCGGTGTTGGCCGCTTGAAAAAGTTGCATATAGGCCGCGACCGTGAAAGGAATCGATCCCAGAAAATAAACCAGGTTGGCCCCGTCTTCGGCAAATTGACCGAGCACCATGATGCTTGCCGTTGAAAAGAGCAGGGCTCCTACGGCGAACACCAAGCCAATCCACCAGTTCAA